GTCTTTCCAATTAACTTCTAAGTAGATAAATTTAGTAATAAGCGCTCAAGTTTTAAAAAATATTATTCAGGCCGGGCGTGGTGGCTCAAGCCTGCAATCCCAGCACTTTGGGAGGCCGAGGCGGGTGGATCACCTGAGGTGAGGGGTTCAAGACCAGCCTGGCCAACAGGGTGAAACCTCGTCTCTGCAAAAAATACAAAAAAATTAGCCGGGCGTGGTGGCGGACGCCTGTAACGCCAGCTACTCGGGAGGCTGAGGCAGGAGAATCGCTTGAACCCGGGAGGCGGAGGTTGCAGTGAGGCGAGGTCGCCCCGCTGCACTCCAGCCTAGGCAACAAGAGCGAAACTCCGTCTCAAAAGAAGACTATTATTCAATAACTGATTTTCACATTTTTAAGAAGTACTGAGGAAGGAAGACCGAATACCAAACATGCGCGCGCACACCGATCCCGAGTTCCGCAACCAACCTCCCCCGGGCGCCGCGCCTTCCCCGCATCACGTGACGGCTGTCGCCCGCACCTTCCATACTCTCAATATAGGGAGAGGCCGGGTTCCATCAGCAAAAAAAAAAAAAAAAAAAAGAAATACACCTCTTCTTCCTGAAACTGGAAACTAAGAGTCATTGACATGTGGTTTGACTCAAAGATAAAGCCCAGGTCTATCCCACAGCTACATCAGAGCTCCTGTGGCTAAGGGTACATATAAAAAACTCTAAAAGAAATTTCTGAATGAGATGTGACTGTTTCCCACCACTTGGCTCTATGCTACTGGCAACTGATGGCTTGGAAGTGATTGATCAGTTTGGATACTTAGCTGTAATGAAGCCTCTTGGTTTAGCAGTAGTAAGAAGACAGAAAAGCATCAAGAAATCTTAATTCTGATTGAGCCTACTTCAGTGGTGGAAAAAACACGTTCTGGATTGTATGTGTGCCAGGCAGTAACATATCCAGAGCTTCTGGAAACATTTCATACAATTTCCACTATGGGATAGAAGCTTTGAGATTAGCATTGCATTTCATTTGGTTGTGAATGGCTGAACATTATTGATATCTGTGCTTTCTGAACATTACTGCTGAGTTTCGATTCTTTCCCATGAGAATGGGTACATTTTCCTAATTCTAAGATGTCCCTTTTGTTGCATGTCCTTGAAAGGTTATACCCCATGAGAGCCCAATTTAACTAACCTTTAGTACAATTCACTGAGGCAAAGATTTGGCAGTTGTTAATTTTGTTTTTAAGATTTATAGGTTTGAGAAAGTACCTCCAAAAGAGGTAGGTGGCTGAAGCCAGTGGTGTTGGGAAAGATGTTAATGGCCTAAATTGAGCCCAGCTGTGGTGAATGCACATTGCCTTTTACTGAAAATGCAGTGGTTGAATAAACTTACTCCAGTAGCCTATCACCATGGAAATAAGGATAATCTGAGCAAGGTGGTGACCTCCACTAACAAACTGAAAATAAAAAAAAAAATAATAATAATAATAAAGTAAAATACAATAAAGTAAAATAAAATAAAATAAAATAAAATCACCCTGTAGTAACTTACTACCTCCTCACAAATTAAGTTTGCGCTGTCCAACAGCGGGAGGAATTCACTTGGTAAGAATAATTAAACACATAAAGGCAATGCC